TAGATAGAAAGTTAGACAGACAGACAGACAGACAGACAGACAGATAGATAGATAGATAGACAAACAGATAGACAGACAGACAGACAGACAGACAGACAGATAGACAGACAGACAGACAGACAAACGGATAGACAGACAGACAGACAGATGATAGATAGATAGATAGATTGATAGACGGACGGACGGACGGACAGACAGATAGATATATAGATAGTCAGACAGACAGACAGACAGACAAAATAAATGACAGAAAGGCAATGTATACTATATAGCATATAGTATATAAGCATGTAAATTATTTGTCTAAACTCAACAGTGTTTGTAGATGAATTATCATATGTCTAGAGTTCGTTCTGATATCAGACGGTAATAAAAGCATGTGATTAAACTCTGTTATTATGTCAAATGAATGTTTTGCACGGCTGCTAATCTGACTGTATATCTTCATAACCCAGAGGAAGAGGAAGCACAGCGATCACACTCCTAAAGAAACAGAGGATATGAAACCTTCATCATCACCATCATCATCTGTGAATCTGATCGTCACAGTGAAGTGAAGCTCCAGTCATTATCCAGGACGAATGTGTGCGTGTGTTTCAGCGTCTGGATGACAGATCTGAGATCAGTAAACAACCGTTTGCAGCTTTCTGCACCCCGCTGTAATTTCAGACTCCAACACAAAACAAAACTCCATCTCTGCCGACTTCCTGAGGCTCATCCTGCCTTTGAAATGCTCATGTCAGTGTAAACACACACACACACACACACGAGGGGCGGGACACGGGCCGGCGGCAGGTAAAGCACTGAGAGCTCACCTGTAACATCACTCAGGTGTGTGTGGAGATCCGCAGACAGGAGAACCGGCTCCTCTTCCTCTCAGGTAAGACACGTCCAGTCTCCTCAACACCAGCTGCTTTTGTTTCATTGTGCCTGTAATATTACAGTAAACATTACATTAAAACTAAACACTGACGGATCAATTCAGCTGCATTTTAAGAATGAATCTGTATGAAACATTTAACAGATGTTGGTGCGAAAGAAGATGCTTTACTTCTGTATCTAAATATCTAAACTACTTTAATACTGCATTAAATTTTGATTTAAATGATCAGTATGTAATACATAAATATTATATAAATACTGTTATTATATATATATTTTTATAGAATATATTGTACAATTTTGGCATTTCCGCTTTTGTGCTTATTTTATATTTTTTCTTCAGTTGTTTTCTAAAGCTTTGCAATCGTACATCTTTTAAACAGTTATATCCGCATTATTGAATAAAGAATATTATGCTGTAGCTGGTGCTGCATGTTATTTATTATTCAATGTACTTTAATGTGGTCTGCAAAAGCTGCATCAGCTCACTTGACAATAAAAGACAAGAAGAGCGGCAGGATTTTTTTGCGGCTTTCTTTGTAGCCGCATGAAAAGTCTCTGACATGTTTCCATTCATAATTTCTCCACTGCTTCTATCTTTTCTCCTTAATACGTCCAATTTGACACCACTTCACAGCTGAGGGGATTTCCACTGAAAGACAGATTAGACATCATTTAATGTTTCGCCTCGAGCTCCAAATACACACGAGACAAGCGCAGATATGTCTTTAAATTGGAAACACAATGAGGGATTAGATCAGTCGTTTATTTTTCTTTCAGAGACCTTATTAATCCTCGAGCACATTCTGCTTTCCTCCTCTAACTCTTGTGTAGTACACAATGTCGTGAATTAGAGACGGATTACTGACACACTGCTGCACGCTTTTATCTAGCATGCCAATACAAGCATGCGATCGTAGTACACACTTCACCTGTGCCCATATCAATCCCTATTTAACTTCAGATTTCTGTCAATAAATCAGTTATTATTTGGATAGCAGATAGCGTTTGCGCTCACAGACTACGTTTTGGGTCTTTTCGTCTGTGTTTCATGTCAAATCCGTGTTAATTGCAAGGACCGTCCGCGGGCTTATCCCGCGCATTTGAACCTCAGACAACACGGTTATTATGTTAATCTGAAGTGTGTTTGAAGTCTTCTGCTCTAAACTCTCGTCTGTCTCTCCCGAAATCCTTCACAGGGCTTTCAAAGCGCAGCAGAAGCCGTTTTCTGAGCGTCTGGGATTTAAGCGAGGAAGAAGACGATGCTTCCTCACCTCAGGAAACGCAAGTTAATCCGTCGGTTTTAGAGACACTTCCTTGGGCGTGGCTTTCGTCTACAAACAAACGAACGGAACCAACTTCTGATTTCATCTCAACATGGACGCATCCCTCCAGCACTCTCATTGCCATTTGGCTAGGAGCAGCAGGTACTGTGCGCCCCCTGGTGGTTACAGAGGGAATGACGTTCACGCCGATCGCGCATTGCCGCTGTTTTTATACCCGACCCACGTTGATCAGCGAGTCTACGATAGATCCTACTGCGGCGGTGCATCGCTGCTCTCGTACCTGCCGCCGTTCCACGGTAGCATCGGCATTTACGAATGTCCCTTCGAGCCCGCCTTCATCCAGAAACGCAACGAGCGGGAACGCCAGCGCGTGAAGTGCGTAAACCAGGGATACGCCAAACTACGAGACCACCTGCCTAACGGGACCACGGAAAAACGGCTGAGCAAAGTGGAGACGCTGCGCGCGGCCATACGCTACATCAAGTACCTGCAGGATCTGGTGGAGAACGCGGGCAGGGCGGAGCAGAACGGAGGAGCGTCGCCGCTTTCCATTTCCGAATCGTCTTCTGAGGAGTCTGTCGGGAGTTAAAGACGTACGGAAAACATCGTTCACGCGACTTTTATCCTGCGCCACCAAAACATTGTTGATTATCAGATATTAGCATGTGTTTTAATGATGCAAAAGCACAATTTGTAATTCAGAAAAGAGCAGCTATCCAGAAAATGTGCAAATAATTACATAAGTTGTCATATGATGCAATTTCAAGTTTTCCTTTGTCTTTGGAGTGTTACAAGCTGTTTGTGCATAGATAAGATCGGTAAAGTTCCAAAGACTAAAGTCTTAAACCCGAAGAGGTATTCTTTATAAAAGTCCACACCTCGTTTAAACACGCCCCCACATGTCTACATCACTGTGTTGGAAGATTTGCATAACTCCGCCCAAATGTTTACGCAAAGACAGAAAGCGTGACTTTTTTTATTCTCGCTGTAGTATTGTTGTCGTGGAGACGCTGTGTGTTTTCAAATATGGTGAGGGGTGTAACATTTCCGTCACATGCTTGAGGTATTCGGCCAATCACAATGCACCGGATAGCTGGCCAATCACAGCACAGTGCGCTTTTCAGAACGATGAGCTTTGTGAAAATCGACGCGTTTCAGAAAGGCGCGTTTACACCTTAAACCGCATAAACACATTGCATTACACCAAACTCACAAAATAATGTTCTTTTTAGCATTTTTAGCATAAGTTCGGTCTTCAATAAAGTACTGAAATCTTCTGAAACTAGTTGAATATGGCACAAGAGTGGCACATTTTAGTTGGCTAGCGTGATGTAGTGTGCTTTCAGACTGAGACATGAGGGCACAGGGGTCATGATGCCCAAAAAAGCCTTGAAATCAACACGACACACGGTTTCTGCTCTTGCATTTTCATGTGATCATGTGAACTGTGCTTTTTACACTTTTTTTTATTCAAATAAATCTTAAATTATACTTGGAATGGGGCTGTGTTTTTACTCAGAGATACTTGTAGTCTTGTTTCTGTTTTTTTAAATGACTGTATTCAACATGTTCATAAACACAGTTGCTGCCTTTAATTTTAAGTTTAATCAAATTGGCTGTATAAATCATTTCTATTTGAGTCCCATACAACTTTTTTTTTAAAAATGTTGCAACTGGTTACATTTTGATGAGTTTCAGATATTTTGCCCTGATTTATTGATCATTTTGTCAGTGCAAATAAACATAAATCAAATTTATGACCCAGAAATGTTCTTGACAGGTTAAGACATTTGTATAGTTGATAAGAGACTCAAGAATGATTGGGACAATCAGAAAAAGCTCATAAATCATGCGAAACCACAGAGATGACAGTGACTCATCTGTGAGCTGATTGGTTTGGCAACTCAGTGATGTCACAAAGCCCAAACAGAACAAGCCAATGAGAACATTCCAAAGTTATGACTGCGTGAATGTCCTGCCTTTTTATCTATGTCTCTGTGACCACGACTATGTCATGTTGTGTTGTCCCCGAACACACACACTTAAACTGAGTGACACGCATTGTCTATATTTATTTTTTAACTCAGACAGCTGCACTACTAACCAAACAAGAGCAGAGCGAGGCAGTGAGAGAAATAGAGACGGATGGTGGGGACACGTTCATTTTTCAGCCACAGGAAGATCCTGAACTACTGAGCCAAGTACCTGATCTCCAGGATTCCTGTGCCTCCTGCTCTGGTTCTGATCGGATCATGGAGGGCGGTGGTGAAGCACCCATGGGCACCTTCATCATGGATGAGGAGACGCTCAAGAGGAAGCAGAGAGAGAAACTCAAGAAGCTCCAGGCCACAGGTGGAAACCCGCGGCCGGCGCGATCCCTCCTCTTCCTCACGCTGAAGAACCCCTTCCGCAAGGCCTGCATAAACATTGTAGAGTGGAAGTATCCTTTAATGAAACAGAAAATGATTTTAATTACAATAATGTTTTAATTTGGAGTTTTCTGTGTTAAAATAATCACTAAACCAGTCAGGTGGAATTTAATGCACATTATTAAAATATGTAAAATATAAATGTCTACTGTCACTTTTGATTAATTGAATGCGTCTTTGATGAATAAAAGTATTCATTTATTTAAAATCATCAAACTCAAACTTTTGAAAGGTAGTGCATCATGGTTTTGGCAAAAATATTAAAAATCTGTACAAATCAATAAAAATTAATTATAAATAAAATATATTCTAATATAAAATAAATAAAAAATTATAAAAATAATTTAAGAAATGAGAAAAAGATACTTCAGTTAAGTATCAAATTCATCTCAAGTGAATCTCCAAAAACAACAAAAAAACAAACTAAAAAAGACTGTAAAAAACATCTTAATTTACCATTTGCCATTTAAAATAAGTTTATCATTTAAAGTCATTCATTAGAGGTGCCAAATATGCAGTTATCAAAGTGTTTGAAAAAGCAACTATGAGATGATAGCTAGTTAATGAGCTCATTCACTCTTGAGCGTGTGTGTAGAGGTGTGTAAATGTCAGTGTTTCAGCACGGCGCTCTGATATTCTGAGAGAACAGCTGCTCTGTCCTCCAGCTCACTAAATACAGACATGCTAAGCTCAGAGAATGCTAGCACACACACACACAACACACTGCGACTGTGGTCATCAACACACACAGACATATTGTTCATTACTGCAGTATTATGTCTATAATTTTAACACTCAGAAACCAGCAATAATTTGATGTTGGTGGATGTTTTTATTTTCCTGAACATTTCTCTCAGACCGTTTGAAATCATCATCCTTCTCACCATCTTTGCAAACTGTGTAGCTCTGGCTGTTTTCATGCCCATGCCTGAGGAAGATACGAATAACACCAACAGCAACTTAGTGAGTCTCTCTCACACACAAATACAATATATACCAACCTATAGATCACACCCTCATACACTCCCTCAACATATAAACCCTTCCCCAATACCTGTAGACTCCTCCTAAAGACACACCCCCAACATACAGACCACACAAAAAGAATCTACCCCAACCTATAGACCACACCCTCATACACTCCCTCAACATATAAAACCTTCCCCAATACCTGTAGACTACTCCTAAAGACACACCCTCAACCTATAGACCACACCCTCATACACTCCCTCAACATATAAACCCTTCCCCAATACCTGTAGACTCCTCCTAAAGACACACCCCCAACATACAGACCACACCCTCATACACTCCCTCAACATATAAAACCTTCCCCAATACCTGTAGACTCCTCCTAAAGACACACCCCCAACCTATAGACCACACCCTCATACACTCCCTCAACATATAAACCCTTCCCCAATACCTGTAGACTCCTGCTTAAGACACACACCCAACCTATAGACCACACCCTCATACACTCCCTCAACATATAAACCCTTCCCCAATACCTGTAGACTCCTGCTTAAGACACACCCCAACCTATAGATCACACCCTCATACACTCCCTCAACATATAAACCCTTCCCCAATACCTGTAGACTCCTGCTTAAGACACACCCCCAACCTATAGACCACGCCCTCATACACTCCCTCAACATATAAAGCCTTGCCCAATACCTGTAGACTCCTCCTAAAGACTCAACACATAAACCCTTCCCCAATACCTGTAGACTCCTCCTAAAGACACACCCCCAACCTATAGACCACAACATCATACACTCCCTCAACATATAAACCCTTCCCCAATACCCGTAGACTCCTGCTTAAGACACCCCCCCAACCTATAGACCACACCCTCATACACTCCCTCAACATATAAAACCTTCCCCAATACCTGTAGACTCCTCCTAAAGACACCCCCCCAACCTATAGGTCACACCCTCATACACTCCCGCAACACATAAACCCTTCCCCAATACCTGTAGACTCCTGCTTAAGACACCCCCCAACCTATAGGTGACACCCCTCATACACTCCCTCAACATATAAAGCCTTGCCCAATACCTGTAGACTCCTCATTAAGAC